ATCTATAATCAATAATATTATTGATTACCAACGGACTTTAATTCTAACTTTGATCTGTGTAATAATAATTTCATTTTATGTCAATACTTCTTTCACATAGTTACTCACTCCTTTGGGAACAATATATCCACTAAGCACTATATCTCTATCCAAGGTCCTTGCATTGCCCATAGTCAAAGGAAAAATTCTGAAAAGTTGTGGCAGATGGTTAAACCTCACTATATCATGCATGTTTCTGTTGATCAAGGAACATGTATTTTTTTTTTAAATAACATACATAAATTCAGACCTGGAGCATCTAAGCAACAGGCATGAATAGACACCTATTTCATCAGAACAACTACATTACAAAGCTAAAATCGCATAGTGCTCTATTAACAGGACAGTGTAGAGAAATAGTTGACAAAGTAAAGTCTAATGCAATGCTTACTTATTCTCAAAGTTTGTCTGCTCAAGAATTCAGATGCCAATTCCAGTGTTTACTCCCTTTTAACTTCAAAGGAACATCAGAATAGGTTTATTTTTAAACTGTCCTTACAAAAAATATAAAACAAGCAAAAACAGTAGTAATTTCATCATTAGAATATAATTCCTATGTACGCCTGTAAAATATTTAAACCATGAAATAAGTAATAGTAGTTACAGTGCATAGATTATGTTATATCTTTCTCTTATATAGGAGATATTCCTACTCTACATTCTCACCCTAAAAATAGATTTAATAAAATAGTACTTTAGACTTTAAATAACCACAGAATCAGACCCAAGTACCTGTGAAGCATTGCAAAAAGTGTATTTTCTTTAAATCAAACCATTATTGATTATGGGTTCATTTATATCACAGTATAATATATATTTCAACAATCTTCATATGGCTCTGTAAGAGTTACTGAATCTGTAGTTCAGGTGACACAAAACTTCAACAAAAATAAGGAGTTAGTCTTGATAAATTCAGAAGATTGACCATACTAAGGGAATAGTCACTGCAAGCTATACTTCAACAAGTAAATTCATATACCTTTTTTGTATCATTAATTCCATTATCTTGATATACTAATATCTTTTATATATTCATCTAAGAAATTTATGTACCTGTGGGACTCCTTTAAGACTGCTTTGAGGTACGACAGTCTGCCCAAGTGTGAAGGCAATAGGGGACCTTCGTGATCCCCTATAACTTGGTCAACTTCTTTCTGTACTCGAGATTGTACCTCAGGGTGTCTAGCCAGTAGGTAAAGAGTGAAACCAATTGTGTGCGATGTCTGGAAATAATAATGACAAAAATAATCATCTTAAAACAAGTTAATTTTTGTTGGTCATCATATCATTAATATCTAGTTTATCATATCATATATTTTTTGTCAGGAAGGAAAAAAATCAATTTGTCCAGACAACAAGGATAATATCAGAATACATATTCAAAGCCTATTATTCACACTGATTCACAAGAGTGGGATAAATCTATGGTGCCCAACTGATTAAATTTTCCTTACTGTGTCAATGCCAGCAAAGAGCATGTCAAGAATAAGTGTGACAACATCTTTACGAGAGAGGCCTGGCATGAGAAGAAGTGACTCCATAAGTGTTAATTCCTCATCTTCTTTCCCTGTCTTGGCTTTCAGTAGTGCTTCTGTTTCTTGAATGTTGCTGTCTGCAATCCTGTTAGATCTCTTTCCTTTAATATCATCCAACATTATCTTTTTAGTGCTTTACTTTTCCTAATTTGTGTTATTATAACTGATATACTGAGACTGCTAATAAAAAACAGCTACTTTTGTCAAAACATATCTCTCTATATATATCCAGGCAATAGCAATAAAGATGTAAAAGAAGAAACACAAGAAGACTCACTCTAGGAAAAGTTGATGGTTTGCCTTCAGTTTCCTGTAAGGTGCTGTAGGGAAGAACCTCCACATACCAGCACTAATCTCAGTGTCATTCATGGCCTCAAAAATGTTATTGGCAGAGTGGATTAATTGCATCGGCTCAGAATCATCTGCGATGTTGGGCTCCAAGCATCCTAATCTTCGACTGAGAGCAACAAGCCCCACGGCTGGAATTTTTCAATGATTCATTAATATCCTGCTTCAGTTCTTGCAAAAATATTTAAATATTATAATCAGCAAATAGCATTACTATATTCTCTGCTAAATGCTCATTAACCACATCAATCAATATTACATAAAATTAATTTCATCAATATATCAATACATAGGTGCCTTCTGTACGTACATTCAAGAGCCCATTTGTATAGTTCAGTCTGAAAATTACTTGGCATCTCCCCATACTCTTCCTGCATGGCTGCAATCCTATAATAGAAATGATAATAAGTAATATTCACAAATCTGAATCCTAAGGCAAAATAGTACTATACATTCAAGCCATTATCAGATCCACTGAAAGGATAGTCAACATCTTACCTATTCAGAAATTCAAGAGTGACTTCATCCATGAGTGTCAGATATGAAGCAATATTCTTTACTTTTAGCATAGGAGTCTGTACTCTACTTCGGACACGCCACCATTCCTCACCATTTCTGATGAAAAAAGTTCTATATACAAAAGATTCTTTCATTAAATATGTTAATGCAATTAGCTGTCTTTTCTGCATATGTTTAAAAAGCAGAAAACAAATATTCAAGTCTGAAACTTAAAATCAGTGCTTGTAAAACAAATAATTTCATTAGTAACTCTACAAATCTTTTCTGCCTTTACTTTTAAAACAATATTTACACAACCTACTCAGTCAGAAGGCCACTTTTTTTTTCAAAGTATCCATTCACTTCATCATCGCGTATCTTTTTCAATGCCAAAAACCCATTTCGAAGGGGGTTCTCCATAGTGGTGCGGAAGACAGTCTCACAGTCGTCAGGATTAGTCAGCCCAACAATTGATGGCATTCCAGGCGTTATCATTCTAACAATAGGCCCATATTCCTTAATCATCTTTGCCCAGAACTTATGGATCTGCTTGTTATCAAAAGCTGAAAGAAGATACAGCTTTATATATGGTGATGAAACATGTATCTGTTATGATTTGACAATTAGCACTATAATATGCTAGATATTACTAATGGCAACAATCAATGCCACTCTGTAAAGGTTATACTTTCTTCCTTCTTTATGGATTGACAGTTATTTTGCTTCTTATGTATCATACCTGTTCATTTCTTAATTCCCTTCTTATATTGTTAGGTACTGCAGAATCTTTCAGATACATGAAAAATACAATTTCCTATTATAACCATGTTGTTCTAATATAACAAAGTATAAAATGCCTCAGTATATTTCATGAACAAGAGAGGCATTTGAGGAGTTGAGGAATCTAAAACAAATGTAAATAATATGTACTTCACCACAGTAAATTTTCTTGTGATAGTTAAGTTAGCACTGTAAAATTACTAGGAAATATATAATTACTGTAAATTCACATACTACATATTTCACATTTTCAAATGTTCTGTTTAGGGGAAATGTAATGGTAGAAATGTTTAAGCAAGAGATTCCTGTGATATACAGTCAGCATAATTCATTTGAAATATTGCAGATATTTAACCTTGGTGTTTTATCTCACTGACTTCTTGTTAGTCTATTTGTGTTTTAATGTTTAATATTGTGAAAAAAATTATCTAATTTTCTTCATACAACCAATAAGCAGCCTGGTTGAGTGGAACATATCATAGCAGTTACGTGATTCCATGCTTCAGCAGTACCATCAAGTAGAAGTATTTGGGCAATTCATTTAATCTACATAGCAATGCTAAAAGTTCTAGGAAATATTCATAAGATATATAGTCCAATAAGAATTAATGCTATGTAAAGTTAAACCATCATGTTTGATATACTTTGACTTGGCCCATCATAATACTCCAGGGAAGATGTTTTTCTTTTGGTATACACATGATATACTTATAAAAAAAGAAAAACTTAAGGAATGATAAAAATGATAGAAAAATAGTTTCATACTTACATCATAATTTCAATGATAAGATTTACTTCCTGTGTACTGCAAACTATTTTTTTAAATCATATACTGTACATATTCTGAAAGGAAGGCAATACAGAAAAAATCTCCATACACATAATATAACCTGAATCTGTTGCTTCAGGCTATACAGGAGAGTTTATATAAAATTGAAGAAAAAATGGCTAAATGCTAAAGAATATATTACCTACCCTGAGATTTTAAGAAGCCTGGGTTATGTCATGCTGAATTTACCACCAGGATATTTTTGAGAGGGAATCAAAGGGCAAATGACAATGGCTTTAACTTGTCCTTTAGTATTCCTTTGGTCATACACAAATGCCCTTTAAAAAACATTTAGCATGTTACTTCCTCATTTCTACTGTAAATTTCATACAAGGTCAAACATTTGCAATGATCCAAATAATTTATTTATATATTCAGGTTTTAAAAAAAGTCCTCTGTTAGTAAAATAGATCAGTTAATTGAATAAAGCACAAACAATAGTCTTATTTCCAAGAAACAAAGTCTTATTACCAAGAAACCTATTGCCGTAATCCTTAACTACATATTGAATTCTACATATTGAATATGAATGTTTTTAGTTAGACTGAATATGTACACACATAAAATACACACAAACTTCTTGGAACACATTCTAAAAGCTAAGGGAGATCTGTGCAGTTGAAAACAATAAAAGTATTACAAGATAAAACAAGTATTTGAAAATTCAAGTGAAACTTACTAGGGTCAAGCAGCATGGAAGGGATTGTGCCCACAATGGGGTAGCATCGGGGACCTGGTATCTCTGAGGTTGGTCTTGCACTTGAATCAAACTTTGGCACACTGACTGCTTCCTGTTTCAAAGTACTTGCCCCAGAAACTGCTCTGACTGAGAAAGCAGAAGGGGCACTGGATCTCAGCAAAAGAGAGCTTCTTAGAATGCTTGCCATTTTGGTCTGTAAAGCAAAATATAAATATCAAGGTGTTATCAAATAATCACTTAATACTACAGCATTTTCAGCAATGAAATATAT